CTTATTACGTTTCTAATTTAATAACTGAGATAATAACTAACAAAATTATTATTATATTAATAATTAAAATATCTCACTCAGTTATTAATTGTTTAAATTGATAAATGAGATAATTTTATTATCTCAATTTAATTTTTAATTTAATAACTGAGAGTGACATAAGCCGAAGACCTTTATATGTCAGGGGCTTTCCCTAAGGAGGAGACACGCTTTCAAACACGTAACCTTTTAACCATAATGTCACTTACGAGATATCATACTAAAAAAAATATAACATTTTGACACGCAAAAGAAATCTTTAATTATGGTAAAAAGTTTTGGTAGTATGATTTTTTTAAAAATTTTCGCTTAGTAAATATAGTCTTCACTTAAAAACTTAATAACCTACCCCATACTCTGTTTGGAAGAATTTTAAAACATTTTTTTAAATTTAAGAGAAATGAAAAAGCTAAAAGGAAAATGCAAACAATTCTTGTAAAAATTCTTTATTCATCGAAAATATTTTCTTCAGATAAGAATGCCCTTAATGTTGATATTTACTCACCCCCCCCCCACGAGGTCGGTTTAATGTGGGGAGCCCGAGCGCGTGCACCCGGGCAAGGAACAAAAATTCCCCGAGCCCCCACAACTGTCGCTGGCCTCGGTGCGTGCACCGATCATTCTCTCTAGTGCAGGCAGCTGTTTCCCAGAACCGGCACCTCTCAGTATAATTTTCTCAGTTGCCCCTCTGTCCAAGGACAGAGACGCAACTGAGAGATGATAAGTAGATGTGTACCTACTCAAAAAGAGTAATTTACAGACTATAATGTCCCTAATGTATATCATTTAAAAAAGCAAATAAAAGTCTATCTAATTCGATAATTAGATAGTTTTTATTTTACGATTGGGAGCAGATTTTTAAAAAGTTGACAGTAGTTAAAAAAAAAATTATTTAATTTTTCCAAGGACTCTTGCTTATAAGTAATATAAAACAACCTGCGAACTGTTTGAAATTCTAGAAAATTTCATAAAATTAATTTAGCGGGATGGGTAACAGATGTAGAAAAAATATTTTTAGCAAGATTTTCTAAAAATAAAAATTTCAAAAATAAATTCATTCATTTTTTAATAAATCCTGAAAGTTTCATTAAAATCAGACAATTATTTGATTTTTGTAAGAATTTCAAATTTGGTGGGTTTTCCCCAGGAAACTGCTACTAAAATTGTCATTACCACAAAAGTAGTACAGAGTTGTCAAAAAAAAACAAAAAAAAAAAACGATATTTTTGCCACAAATTTAGAACGCGTTAGAAAGAAGGAAATTTTTTTTTTTAATAATTAAATAATTAAAAGTACTTGTTCTTTCCTTTTAATAATAACATAAACATTTTAACGATAAAACTTTGTTTTTAGTAAGTTTGAGGCCTTTTATCATTATGCTATACTGATTTTTAGCGAATTATTGGAGGCACCTAAACAAAAGGTTCATAAAATATTTCAATATAGAAAAAACTGACCTTCCTAACAAACCCAACGAATCAAAAAATATATTGTTCTATTAACTAACTCTATCACAACTATGATCGAAAAGAATTTATCTAAACTCGACATAAAAATTGTCACACCTACATTTAAAACAATAAAAGGTTTATTCAATAGAAAACAAAACACGAGCCAATATTTGAGGCGGGGATTTACTCTATTAACAGCAAGGATTACCAAATAAAATATATAAGAGAAACCTTACGAAGTTTAAACAAAACATTATATCGACACAAGAGATACTTAAAACAACAACAACACACTAAATGCATTAGTTTGCTCAGCGTAATGAGACTGACCTCAATTCTGATAATAAAAATGCTTCTCTAATTAAAAGAAAAAATAATTCACTAAGATGAAAATGTCTAGAAAATTTCATTCATCTACTATAAAATGGCGTCCTGGTTCTTACAACGTTTCACCATTCCTGGCAGATTTTCTATTATCACAATTTAATAACAAAGGTAATAGAAATAAAAAGAAAAAGAATCTAAATGAAATTGGCTAGATTATAGACCCAAAAACATACAAAATTTCATTATCTTATTTGTTTAGTTTAAGGTATTGGCTTTGGGTATAAGATCTGCCAATCGGAATATGGGATATTTTATAACAAGTATGATGGAAACAAATCTAAATGAAAATTGGCTAGATTATAGACCCAAAACACATATCAAAAAATTCTAATTATCAGCGTTTCTCGAACGTGCGTATGTGCAGTTGCATCAACATAAACACACCAAAGTCCGATGAAGTCCTAAGGGACGAAACGCGCCATACGAAAACGTTTTCCACTTTGTCATACATCATTCCTCCATAACTGTTTTTGATATATAAAAATTTATATATGGTTATCCCATCATTGATTTGATTTCTAACCGTTGCATGTTATTTAACACCAGAAAATATTTAGTTTAGGTTTGTAATTTTTTTTTGGGGGGGGGAGATAATAATCGTTTAGTGATGCAAGACTTACTAA